ATATATATATATATTATAATAGCCTATTTATTGTATTATAAAATCACTTAAAATGTTGATCAATGTTTTTGCAGTAAAAATAAATATAATGTGTCTTCTTATGATCATGACTTTTCCCAACACTTTTCCCCACCAAAAATAAACATAATTTAGTTTTTTTTTTTTCGTTTTTTAATATTAATTATTTTTATTTTGACTTTTTAATCCCTCTCTTTGACCCTTAAAATATTTTTTTTTACTGTAACTATGTAAACATATAGAATATGACTAGACCACACATACATATTATTTCTCATATATTATTTAATATAGTAATAATTAATTATATATAATTTATTATTATATAATAACTTATTATATAATTGTATTTTTTTAATCACTTAAAATATTAGTAAAGTTTTTAGCAGCAAAATAAATATAATTGAGCTTTTCATGACTTTTACCACCATCTCTTTGACTCTTACAATTAAATGGATAGTTTTTGCTACTGTACCTTTAAGACCTCTATGGAAATAGCTATACAGTTTATAACCGTTTTTTCTCCGTTCTCTTATTGTCTAATATTAGTCAAGGTTTATTGCTATAAACAGATAACTTTTAGTGTTTAAGTGTTTTATATTCTACTACTTTACTACACCACTTATTAAGCCATAAAAAAAAAGCTAATTAAGAAATGACTTCACAATCATGAGTAGCCTATAAGAGTTGCGTAAGGAAAATGTTTGCGTAAACTCCCTTTTTGAGAGGAATGGACTGAAACAGCTGTAATGTATTACTGTAGATTATGGTGCATTTAAGTGAAAAACTAGCATTCCCAGCCTTTACGATTTGTCTGTACCTGCTTTAAAATCCACAATTATCCTGAGAGAACATCATTTCCATCTTCTTCTAAAAACCACCATCCCTCTATCGCCTCAGAAGACTCCAGAGCACATGCACACTTCGTCTGAGCGGCATGGCAGCGTTACAGAGTGTGTTTTTAGGTGCCGCGTCGTGAGAGAGAGGGGCATAGCTGTACCGCGCTCCTCTGGAGCGTGCCAGAACATTCCTCACAGATTTGGGCGTCAGCTTCTTTCTCTTAAATCCCTGGGAGTGCTGCGTTTCCATGGTGATTGAAACTTGTAAGAGCCATCTTTATTCATCACTGTGGCCCAGAGGGCTGGAGAAGAAGCACTGACGATAGAGGAAGATAAAGAGGAGGAAAAAGAGGAAGACAAATATAATCTCCTATTGGTTCGTGTCGGTCTGGGACTGAATAGACACGTTTTTATATAAAAATCACAACAGTGAAAGCAAAGATCGTGTCAAGTGATGCAACGAAAAACATTTGTCGATTATAAAGCGTGCGTACGTGCGCGCACCAAAGTGTATTAATTACTCCCATTGATCTCTGCAGCATATGATACATGAAAAATACACAAGCTTCTCAATGGAGACCGTCATTCACGCAAACAAGCAATGAACCTTGAGTGCTGTACTAGTTTCATTACCCATCATGCCCACTGGCTCTGAGCCCCTAATCTGTCTGTGTACTGTCTCAATCTGCTGCTCTATTAATAGTCATATGCAACAGAACGTCTAGGTTACTTGTGTAACCCTCGTTCCCTTAAGGAGGGAATGGAGACGTTACGTCAGTCGTGACTGACGAATTGGGATCTCGCCCGAGAGCCCAATCACCTTCGAGTGTTAACTAAACAAGCCAATGACAGTTGGCGTGCGTGTTTCGCCACGCGCACGCCGCCCCACAGCGCGGGTATAAAAGGAGAGCGTGTGCAAACGCACATCAGTTTTTCGCTGAGGAGCCGAGACTATGTGCCCCGGCCGTACAGCGGTGGTACAGCAACTGTGGCGACGGAACGTAACGTCTCCGTTCCCTCCTTCAGGGAACGAGGGTTACACAAGTAACCTAGACGTTCCCTTTACAAGTCTGGACGCGGGTGCCAGAGGGTGCCCCCTCTCTGAGAAAGTAGATCCCTCCTCAGAGGAATTCGCCAAGGAGGGGCTATCGCGAGGAGCATCAGTTCAGGGAACCAAGTCCGGCTGGGCCAATACGGCGCTACCAACAGAACCTGCTCCTCGTCCTCCCTGACCTTGCA